CCCCCCCCCCCCCCCGACTCCTGCCCCCATTACACATGGTAAATCTTGTATCTGGGAACAAATGCAATCACAGCCATTTAACTGTTCTTCCACGTTAGCAATATATTTAATGTTCTTAGGCTTTGGTCTCAGTGCAGTGTGAGAAACCCTTTACCACTTGCTTCCCCTGCAGCTACCAACTGAGTGACGTGCCCAAGGTCATTTTCAAATCTGTAAAACGTTAGCCTTTTCCTTTGCCAGATGACTTTTTTTTTTTAAAGGAAAGTTGTCATTTAGTTTTCCACATGATGCTTGAGGTTCATTTTACGTGAAGGAGTACAGACTCCTTCCAAGTTTTATTTCTCTACTTGAAGCTTTGTAATGAGACTGCTCTGAAAGAAAGGAAGGGAGGGAAGGAGGAAGGAAATGTGGTAGGAAAGGGAAAGAAAGGGAGGATAGAGAGAAAGAAAGAAAGAAAGAAAGAAAGAAAGAAAGAGGGACAGAGGAAGGAAGGAAGAAAAGAAGGAAAGAAGGAAGGAAGAAAAGAAAAGAAGGAAAGAAGAAGAAAGAAAGAAAGAGAGAGAGAGGGAGGGAGGGAGGGAGGGGGGAGGAAGAAAGGGAAAGTGAATGAATGGCAGGTATCTATCGCCTAATTTCTGAGGCCTTAAAGGAACAGCAAGAAAGTTGTTCTTGGGTTTAAAAGCTGATCTTCCCTGTACAGATTTGCCACTGCACTATATGCTATGGAAGCCCGTCAAACTTTTGTTGTTGTTGTTTTAACCCTTAAACTTACCCTGCAATGTGCAGTGAGGTTTTTCCAGTGGGAAGGCAGCAGCTACAGGTCGTGGAGGCGGGGGAGGTGGTCTGTTGCTGACGAGTGGCTCTCGTGAAGTATGTTCTAGATTGTCTCCAGGAATGAACACATAGAAGTCATCATCATACTGGTTCGCAGAAGTGCCAACCCCAACCTCTGCTAGGCTGTGCTCGGCCTCTGTGCTCGATTCACCCTCTTTATCTTCCTTTGCCAGTTCATCTGCCTCAGCTCCTTCTGCCCACTGCCTGTATGTCTGTCCACCTTCAGGATGAAATGCTGGGGTCTGTATGGCTGTTTATGATGAAGACAGTAGATTTCATTTAAACACACCATCTGGAGGCATTTCATATTTTCTAATTTCATACAGAAATGATAGTACTGCTAATAAAACTTTTATGATCTGATACAGTGGAAAGCTGACAAATGCATAATTTTAGCGAACAGTCATTCTTGGGCTTTTAAAATACCAAACGAACAGTTAAAGCTTCCTTATATCTTGCTACCTCACAATACGACGCACTCATACATACAATAACACTTGGATTCTCTAGAGTTATTGTTTGAGCAGATTCATATATGACGGCATGACTGCATTTTTATTAGAAAACAGCATAACTGACCTAAGAAGTGATAAGTAAGTTATGGAAAAGCTAAATTCAAGGAAAAATGATAAACCTTAACTTGCTTGTAAATAATGCAATAAAAGTGACTCTGTCCTCTTACTTAGTGACTATTTTAATATATAATTATCACCAGATTATATCTTAACTCTTGAAAACATTACTTGAGGAAAGTGTTATTTTTTGGTGGAGAAGCATCCAAATCACCAATGGTAGGTAAATCTTTCTAAGATTCAGTTCTGTCATCTATGAAACATATCCTATCCTGAAACTTAACCAAATAATCCAAATTCCCTCCATCCTAAGAATCATGATTCCATCATTTGTTTTTATAATGTACACAATAAATACCCAGGAAGAAAACTGAAAAAAGATACTATAATGCAGTAACTTCAAATCTTAAGATTTTGTTGTTTAAATTTTCATAAAAATTCCGCTTTAAATAAAGGATTCACAAAACTTTAAAACAACCTTGGAATCTCTAGATTGGAAGGAATATGTGAATTACTGTCACTGTCAGTGCAATAGACAAGCAAATGACTGTTGTTTTAGTGTTGCTAAGCTGAAATACAGCTAAAGAAGCCAATTGGCAGAGTATGGAGAAACAGGCCTTTTTTTTTTTTAAACAACAAAGAGTTATGCTGTAGAAACTTTCCAGTTATGGGAGAAAATCAGTCACGAAGAAAAATTGTGCCCATGATGGTACCCCATATTTCTATGTGGAATTTTAGTTTTTATTGTTCTTTCTTTCTACATGAGAAAGAAGAAAGATAACAGCTTCTGTATTAGAACTACAGACCAAAACTCTTTAATTAGTAGGTTGGGCAGAGCAACCAGCCGTTCATTCTTGCACAGATCTCATTCATCTTTCTACCTCTAACACCAAACACTGAGCCCAAAATAAAGTAGTTCCTAGAAATACTGACGGAGTAGACAATGCAGTGACTGGAAAGAAATTACTGCTCAGGCTAGCAAAGGGACTTCACTATTTCTGTCTGGGCAAATCGATCATCAACTATAGGAAATTACTTGTAGCCACCCTCATGTTTATGTATTCAGTATTTATGTTTTATGTTTACACTGTCTAAGCAACAGAGTCTACTTGGTCCCTGTCAAAAATGCCCAAACCTGGGGGTGCCTGGGTGGCTCAGTTGGTTGGTCGGCCGACTTCAGCTCAGGTCATGATCTCGCGGTCCATGGGTTCAAGCCCCGCATCGGGCTCTGTGCTGACGGCTCAGAGTCCGGAGCCTGTTTCAGATTCTGTGTCTCCCTCTCTCTCTCTGACCCTCCCCCGTTCATGCTCTGTTTCTCTCTGTCTCAAAAATAAATAAACGTTAAAAAAAAAAATGCCCAAACCTGGAATCCAGCCCTGGGCGGGGGCTTGGATGTAGCAGGTCAGTGAGTTTTGGCAACTTCACAGTGATCGGGATACTAATGGAAATCTGCTTAGGTGTGCCATGCTCCCTGAGTCCAGTCACACGGAATTTCCTAAACAAGAAAATTCCAGGTCCAAATGGTCTTTAGAAATGAGGTTGTTCTCTATAAATAATTGAAATCATGTTTTTCTCTTTATAGGAAGTTCTTCTGAGGATTAAATTTCATAATAAATAAATGGTCATTATCAGTGATGGCCTTTATCATCCGTTTTATTACTGTCAAAAATAAAAATAAAATGTATGGCTTTAAAACTCAGTGCATTATTTCATCACTTTAGCATTATTTTGTGTTATGCCATAACTTTTGAGGTTGTTTCCTGATTTGCCAAAGTATGCTAGTTGAGACATTATATTTAATTTTATCTGATTTGCAGATCAGCCTACCATTTGAAAAACTAGTGATCAATAATGGTTATTGAGCATCAACCGTGCAGTGTTCAAAGGGCAATGCCCCAGGGTAAGAGCATGCTTGATATGTGAGATGTCACTGTGGCTGTGAACAAACAAGACAGGGGTCAGAGATGGGACCAAAAAGGTTATCCAGGGATAATCTTTAGATGATGATAAAGATTATAAGTATGATGAGAAAGTAAAGAGAAATTTGGAACAGAAAAGTGATTAGTTCCTTCACGAAGCATAGACTATTAGGAGTAGCAAATGTGGAAGCTGCTATTTCAGGGTTTCTTAATAGCAGTGCTGCTGAGATTTCGGACTAGATAATCCTGTGTTGCGTGTGGTCTGCGTCCTATGCATCATGGGACATTTAGCAGAATGGCTGGTGTCCACCCCCTAAATGCCAGTTTGGGAAGCTCCCTTCTCAAATCATGATAATAAAACAGCTTCTGTCCATTGACAAATATTGCCGGTTTTGAGTGGAAAATAGTCCTTCATTGACAACCATTGTGCCACGGCAATAATCCAAGGAAGAGCTGATGGCAGCATGGACTAGGGTAAATAATGAAAGATTGAGGAACTGCTGAATGTTGGCTACGCTGTGAAGGTGGAGTCAACATTATTATTATCCGACAGACTGGATGTGGGGTGAGAGAGGAAGTAAAAAAGCCAAAGGACTTCCAGGTTTTTGGACGGAATGAAACAAGGAAAGAATCTTCACTTACTGAAATGGGAAAGTCAGCAGGTGGTGTAGGTTTGAAAGCACCAAGCATTAGGGATTTTGGATTTGGAAATGCTGCGTGGGGGATGCCTTTCAGATGTGCTGGTGAAGGAAGTTATTGTATACCAGCGGAATCTGGCATAATGGGTAGTTATACACACGTAGGGAGACTGAATTAGCCCTCAGACATTAGAATATAGAACCACATCCTATGACAGCCAGGAAGGACCTTAGAGAGAGACCTAGTCCAAGCTTCTCATTTCCTAGCAGAGAAAACTAAGGTCTGAAAAGAATGTGACTTTGTTTTAAAAAATACTGAAAAAGCAGAGTTGTCAAATAGTCAAAATATTTGCATCAATCTGACTTGTGTATTCTCTCTGGGTAGGAAAAAGTGGGGTTTGATTATTCAACACTGAACTTAATAGAAGTATTTCAATTGGCAAGATAATGTAGTAACATCTCTACCGTATTATAAATGAGAGGACTTTTAGTTAATTAAATGCCTTTCCATGCTCTCCATGCACTCTTCAGTCTTACTTGACCAGTTACAGGTACCTTAATATAAATGTTACATATATACATGTATTCATAACATACAGGAATACTTACTAGAAGAATATGCAAATAATGAAGTAAAATCATCTTCATAGTCATTTTCTTGATCATTTCTGCTAACTTCTGGGATCTGAAAAAAAATGAATGTTTTTAATAATACCCATTCATCTTGAAAAAATTTTTTTTAATGTTTATTTTTTTGAAAGAGAGAGAGAGCATGAGTGGGGAGGGGCAGAGTGAGAGGGAGACAGACAGAATCTGAAGCAGGCTCCAGGCTCTGAGCTGTCAGCACAGAGTCGAATGTGGGGCTCGAACCCACAAACCATGAGATCATGACCTGAGCTGAAGTTGGACGCTTAACTGACTGAGCCACCCAGGGGCCCCTATCTGTTCATCTTAATGCATCTGTATCATTACATATATCAAATGGAAAGTTAATATCTGTGGAAATAAGAAATTGTCTTAGTATTTCTTTAAGTACTTTGTTTATACTACATATCTCAGCTATTATATTTGTGCCAGCTACAATACAATTGTTCAATGACATAAAGTATTAAAAGTATACTGCGGCAATTAGACATTTCCAATAAATAATAAGTTGATTGAAAATGAAGCTTACTGCAATTACTTTAAGATTCAAAGCAATGGTCATGAAATTTAGGTGCAATAAATAAGATCTGAAAATTGAACACAACTATTTCTCTTAAAAACCACACTCTTTCCTTTCTTTTAACATTTCTGGGGTGCCTGGATGGCTCAGTTGGTTGACAGCCTGACACTTGGTTTTGGTTCAGGACATGATCTCATGGTTAATGGGTTCCAGGCTTGTTTTGAGACTCAACAGCACAGAGCCTGTTTGGGATTCTCTCTGTCCCTCTCTCTCTGTTCCTCCCCTGCTCAGGCTCTCTCTTTCTTTACCTCAAAATAAATAAGTAAACTTAAAAAAAATATTTCTGTATCTTTTACCAGTTCAAAAGACTTCTTAATTACATCAAGTATAATAATACAGTGAAAGCCAGTGAAACTGCAAAATGGCTTATTTTCCATCTTTTAAAAAGAAAAAAAAGAAACAGACTAAGGGGATTTACGTTTGTTTTTCTGAAGTCCGTTCCACTACACTTAGAAGGGGGAATTACTGAGAAAAGACAGAAACCTGTTATCTCTGAATTGCTAGTCTTTGTTTATAATCTCTGAAGGAGACATGGGATCTACAGTAGTGGAACATATTGGTGCTCCTAGAGAAAGGTAAGTAATACCAGTGACAGTTCTATTTGTGCAAAAGCATCTAGAGAAAAAGATGGAGGTTGGATGCATCAATATAGGTCACATTTTGTTACCATGAACCTCAAGTGATTATTCAAATGATTTATGCTTTTGTTCTTACTACAACTTAAATGATTAGTCCATTTGCTCTGCATTTTAAATGTCCCTTTGTTTGTTTGTTTATTTATCTATTTAAAATGTTTTATTTTGGGGCGCCTGGGTGGCGCAGTCAGTTAAGCGTCCGACTTCAGCCAGGTCACGATCTCGCGGTCCGGGAGTTCGAGCCCCGCGTCAGGCTCTGGGCTGATGGCTCAGAGCCTGGAGCCTGTTTCCGATTCTGTGTCTCCCTCTCTCTCTGCCCCTCCCCCGTTCATGCTCTGTCTCTCTCTGTCCCAAAAATAAATAAACGTTGAAAAAAAAAATTAAAAAAGAAATGTTTTATTTTTGTGAGGGGAGGGCAGAGAGAGAGGAGGACAGGATCCGAAGCGGGCTCTGCGCGGACAGTAGCGAGTCTGATATGGGGCTCCAACTCACGAACTGTGAGATCATGACCTGAGCCGAAGGTCAATGCTCAACCGACTGAGCCACTCAGGTGCCTCTAGAACGTTCCTTTAAAAATTAGAAGCATCCATATTGAAACATTATTAAATTTATAATAGCCTTGGTATGCAAGGGTATTTGAGCTATATATGGACGTCATCAATTTGATTGGTCAGTCACTCTGGCCAATGGGAGCCCAATGGAATTTATTTTTCCTTCCTTCCTTCCTCTTTCTCTCTCCCCCCTTTTCTTTCTTTTTTCTTTTCTTTTCTTTTCTTTTCTTTTCTTTTCTTTTCTTTTCTTTTCTTTTCCTTTTCTTTTCTTTTCTTTTTTCTTTCCTTCCTTCCTTCTTTCTTCTTTTCTTTCTTTCTTTCTTTCTTTCTTTCTTTCTTTCTCTCTCTCTTTCTTTCTCTTTCTTTCTTTCTTTCTTTCTTTCTTTCTTTCTTTCTTTCTCTCTCTCTCTCTCTATTAATGCTATCCAGAGAAGCAACATGGTCTTTGATTTCCAGTGAAATCTTGAAAGTAAAAGTGTCTTTACTATCATTATTATTATTATTAGTTAACCTGATGCAGAAGCTCATTTCATATTTAAATCATATTTTCCCCTTGGTGGACTCAATAAAATGCTAATATAAAAAGTCATATAACTTTGACATGTTGATTGATACTTGTATGCTTTGCTATTAAATACATTGTTTAATACAGACATTCTTTGTTTCCAATTAGCCTCACCTCTTTATTTCATAAGATAGATCAAGAATATGTTTAAAAATCCATAATACTTTTAAAATCATATCCAGGAAGTTTTTACTAGAATAACAGGGATTGTTTTCAAAGATTTCAGAAATTATGTAAAAATTTTCTACATACTATTCACAAGCCTAGACATTATGAGCACAAAATCTGTGAACGAATAATGAGACTGTGGGCAAGCATGTAGATGTATGTGTATGTACTGAGGTTAAAATCTAATGGAATCATTTTTATGTTATAAGCTATATGACATTTGTATTAATAAACAAGCAAGCCCAAAAATGTACTGAAGGAAGAAGCTTTCCAAACTTAAAAAGGAGCTAAAGTTTGACAGGTTTTGAGCACTTTTATAACTATCATGCAAAATTGACATTTTGTATATCAGGCTATGCAGAGATTAGTCGTTTTTTCAGGAATGAGAGATCTTTAGAAATGTTTAAATGACAAAATAGTTTTCTCTTACCTGAATTCCTTATGCTTATAATCATATTTATTTTAAAAAATATGTTAGATTGGTGACATATTAATAACTGTTCAAGGAAATCGATGATGGTTTCAAAGACAAGTGTGCTGGCCATCTGATTTTAGTATTTGGCTGTGTGGTACAGTGAGCAGAGCATGGCTTGTGAAGTCAATCTAAGAACAAACCACAGCTCTATGATTTATTAGCTGTGTTATATTGGGCAACTCTATATCTCAATATTCTATGCTGCCAAATGTGAATAGTATTATCTATGCCATCAGTTTGCTGAGAGGGCTAAATGAGAATAATGTAAGCAAAACACATAGTACCTGTAACCACATAGTAATTGCTCAATGAATGCAACCTGCACATGTTAGATTTTCCTTCATCCTACAAAATATAATTCTACATTTAATAAAGTACAGTGATCACATCGATTTGATGGGGAAATCATCAGGAATGAACCAATAGTTATTTAGCTCATTTCTTCTCAGTTGTGTGCCTCTAGAAGTCTTGCTGACAGAAAAAGAACTAGAATATAAACTTCGTATCTGATTGAAGTGTGGCAGTATGATTTTGTTATTAAAAATACTTTGATAATTTATAAGATAATAAAGACAGGCATGAAAAAGCAGTAATTCTTTAATAAGTTCCTTTTTCTGAAGCTAGAGTCTGACTTTATTCATTAATTTGTTAAATAAATATGCAGGCCTACGATGTGCTAACTACTCTGTTAGCAATTAAGGAAAATAAGTTAAAAATAAGAGACATAATTCCCATTCTCACAACTCTCATATTTTTTATAGAAGAGAAGACAAAATAATAAAATGATCAGAATACAATATTTTACTTACTTCACTACACAAATTCAGTCCTTAGAAGTGAAAAGGAGAATTAAGGAAGAATCAGATAATCAGCGCCAAATTTTATTAAGTTGCTTTCTGTATGAGGAGTTTGGATGAAAAAATTACCTTGATGCTTGCCATGAGTCCTACTTCTCTAAATGAAAAATTCAGCTTAAATAATGGAACCTATTAGCTGAATATGCTCAGTGTAATATTCCAGCCCACAGACAATGTTTAATGAAATTAAAATCATTCATTATCAAAGATAAACTAAGAAGAGAACGTGTTGACTAAGGTTTATAAAGCTCCACATGGCTTGGCATCCAGCACTGTACAAATTGATCATAATATTCTGATTTTGAGGGAGTGAATAAAAACAATCTTCACATGGCAGTTGGTTTCCAAATCTTGTTATGAGATTCTGAAGATATTATAATTAGCTTAACTCTTGCCCAACTTTCCACAGTGTTGACTTTAAACGATTTTGCCAGCTGTAAAGCACACGGCAGTCTGTGGAATGAGAGTAAGAAGACATATATGTTCGAAGAATAACAAATTGGCCTGTAACATTTTATATTTTACCCAAAATGTATGTACTAAGCTGCAGAATCCGAGATAATATTCCAATGGAAATAATAAAGAGTATACTTACTAAATGTTAAGAATAATGAACAATGTTTTACTAAAGCCATGAATAAGAGTCTCAAAAAAGTTTTTTTGAAGATGAATTGTAGGAGTATGCTATCTTAGCTCTCACTACATCTTTTAAGAGGATTTGTTTCTCCTTAGGCCATCTAGGAATATGGTCTAAAAGCAGAATCTTCTAATTTCTTATGAAAATTCTCTCTTTTTTGTTTAAAGTTTATTTATTTTGAGAGAGAGAGAGAGAGAGAAAGAGAAGAGAGCATGTGCATGCATGTGGGAAGGGGAAGAGAGAGAGGGAGAGAAGGAATCCCAAGCAGGATCCGCTCTGTCACCACGGAGCCCGACAAGAGACTCAATCCTATGAACCATGAGATCATGACATGAGCTGAAATCAAGAGTCAGATGCTTAACCGACTGAGCCACCCAAGTGCCCCACAAAGTTCTCTTTATATAATAGGAATTGGAATCCGGAGTGTAAAAATTAAATAGGAAGTCCACCCATGATTGGGAGAAGAAAAAGGAGAATAAAATAGATGCAGAGCTGTGAGGGGGGAAAAGTGGACATTTTCCTTAGTACGGACCAAAATTTCATTAGAATAGCCTGAGGAAATATGCTTCAGG